TATCAGAGGCTACTGACCTCTTCCAGGCAAGCATCTTGTATTCAAGTTCTAAAGTGCATGGGATACCAATTTTTTAAAAGGTGGCACTGGGTTGGATGATCCAGGGCAAATTTTGCACTTGTGCTAGAGCTCGACTATTATCGGGAGCGAGATGGAGCATGCATATCACTCCCGTTCTGCAGACGCTCTATTGGCTGCCCATGTGTTACCAGGCTCAGTTTAAAGGTATTGGCTATCATGTACAAAGCCCTTCATGGCTTTGGTACCTCTTATCTAGGGGTGCCGGGTCCCCTCGTCGCTCTGGCAGGGGGATTTGGGGGCGTTTCCGGGGTGGATGCAATCAAGCCCCGTCCCGAAGAGCGACCACCCGCCTAGCCATCCCTCTCCCTCCCCTCCTGCCCGATTTAAAGGGCTTCATCTGATTGGCGGGGACCACGTGGCCTGCTGAGCAGCTGGATGGCCCTTTACTTCTAGCAGGAGGGAGGGGGGCAGTTGCTGGGCTCCCATGTGGCCCCCAGTGATCAGCTGAAGCCCTTTAAATCAGGCAGGAGGGGAGGGAGAGGGGTGGCCAGGCAGCTGGTCGCTCTTGGGGGCAGAGCTTGGGGGTGGGGCTTCCCCCACCAGCTAGCTGGCCTGGGGCAGATTGAAGCTCCCAGAAGCGGAGGAACCCCCACCCAGACTGGGGGCTGGTGACCCTACTCTTATCTGGATCTCCCCCTATGCTCTACCACAACAGCTTCACTCACTTCAGCAGGGGCTCCTGCAGGTGCCTGCCAAGCTGCAAATGGATTATATCAACAACTGCTTTCTTGGCTGTAGCTCCCACTTTATGGACCGGACCGCCCAAGAAGGTCATGCAGCCTCCTATTCTCCTGACTCAACTCTACGTAACCCGCCTTCAGTCCCTGTAAGAAAGGTAGACTATATACAGTGTAAATAACTAAAAAAGTGGAAACACAAGAAAAAGAGTCCTCCCCAGGCTCCACCCCGAAATCTCCAGGAGATTTTGTTACTTTAGTTATTTTACAGTGTAAATAACTAAAAAAGTGGAAACACAAGAAAAAGAGTACGGTAACCGCTTGCGCTAAGTCAAATTTATTGTATCCCCACCAATGCGCCCTCTAAGCTGTGGAGTCTTGTGAGCAAAGAGTCTACTTTGCAAGCTACTGGCATTGAAGTTGTGAGCAAGCGATTTGGCTACTGCAAAGATTAGTTTGCTCTGGAGCCCTCCTATCTGAGCTAAGATGAAAATGTGTGAGTGGGAGGCTAAAAAACTGAGAGCTAGCTCACGCTAAATCAGCTTAGAGGGAACACTGGTCCCCACCAATGATTCTGCTTGCATGAGATCTTGTACAAATGGTTTCTGGGCTCTATAATACATAGTCAGAAAAGCTGCTAGGTGCTACATACCATCTCGCGTAAGCAGAACTATGCTAAACCTGTTTATTTTTTCTTGTGCCTCACTGGATCCAAGCCATTATCCTCGCTAATAAATATGTTGCTACAGATAATCCATTTCCCTGAGAAGCTTTTTAATATAGAACACTGTTGATCTTGGATCCCAGATTTAGAATATCTCCTTCCATAGCATCTATTCATTTCAGTGCCTAGCACTACCGTGTTCCTAAGACTTGGAGCGGATAACAATAAGGGTGTGTTAATTTGTAATACGTATACGTCTGTGTGCTCATGCATATATGTGTATGGATACATGTGCTCGCCTCCAGGTGCACACTAAAAGACAAGCAAAGGGCCCATGGATGTGACAAAACGTGAATGTCACTGAACCACGAACCACCCTCTGCCCCTCCTATATTCTCCACCTCTGACCTGCGTTCTGCTTTATAAAATTGTCTGCTTTGATGTTCCATAGGAACACTCAACTAAAGAACAAAACAAAATCCAACTTTAACACGAGTTACTCCTGAATAAAGAAGACACAGAGATTATTTCTTAACTATAGATTCAGGTGGATAGCTGTGTTGGTCTGAAGCAGCAGAACAAAAAGTGAGTCCAGTGGCACCTTTAAGATCAACAGAGTTTTAGTCAAGATATTAGCTTTCATCTGCATGCCCACTTCTTCGGATTTGTATCTGCAGAAGTGTGCATGCAGTTGAAAGCTTATACCTTGACTAAAACTTTGTTGGTCTTAAAGGTACCACTGGATTCACACTCTGTTCTATTCCATAACTAGGCAAGCACATTCTGAGAAGTTTAAGTATTCCATGAAAACACTTTAAAGGAGAAAAAAATGACCTATGGCTAAATTCAAGCAAGGCTGAGCAACAGAGAGAGTGATTAAAATGTGGAATTCGCTGCCAGAGGATGTAGTGATGGCCACAGGAATAAACAGCTTTAAAGTTGGGTTATATAGATTCATGGAGGATATCAGTGGCCAGTGTTCCCTCTAGGCTGAGTTGGTGTGAGCTAGCTCAGTTTTTTAGCTTCCAGCTCACAGATTTTTGTCTTCGCTCAGAGAGGAGGGCTCCAGAGCAAGCTAATTTATGCAGTAGCAAAATTGCCCGCTCACAACTTCAATGCCAGTAGCTCGCAAAGTAGAATTTTTGCTCACAAGACTCCACAGCTTAGGGGGAACATTGTCAGTGGCTACTAGCCATAGTGACATAGGGGAACCTCCATGTGCAGAGGTACTAAACCTTTGAATCCCAGAGCCAGGAGGCAACATCAGTGGAAGGCCTCAGTCACTATGCCCTGTTGTTGCCCCTCCAGAGGAACTGGTTGGCCACTGTGTGAGACAGGATGTTGGACTAGGTGGACCACTGGTCTGACCCAGCAGGGCTCTTCTTATGTTTGTTAACTGCCCAAAGACTCACAGATATCTGAAAGGCCAATGAAGTGATACCTCTGATTCAGCACAACCTCTCATTCACTTCTCTGTGCTACTTTTTCAACACACAGCATACGAACAGAAAGAGTGGCTTAAGGATCACAGAAGTGGCATAAATGGCCCATTTGTGCCAAGGAAGTAACAAGTCTCCTGTCTGGGAGGCAAGACAAAATATAGGATCTTCTTTTTTTTACATTTGATCTATTTTACTGCAGATACCAGTGTGGATCCCAGCCTTGTGAACAATTCCCACACAAGAGCCAGTGTGGAGTAATGGCCAAGAGCAGCAGACTTTAACCTGGAGAGGCGGGTTTGATTCCCCACTCCTCCTCCACGTGAAGCCTGCTGGGTGACCTTGGGCCAGTCACCGTTCTGTCAAAACTCTCTCGGCCTCACCTGCCTCACAGGGTGTCTGTTGTGAGGAGAGGAAGGGAAAGGCAATACTTTGAGACTCCTTAAGGTAGAGAAAAGCAGGGCATACAAACCAACTCTTCTTCTTCTACAAGGAAGAGGATTGTTTTGAGGTTTTCTTGCATATGTTAAATCAGACTGTATACGTCACCTTGAGCTATGAGGGAAAGTGGGATATAATATTTGCATTTTAGGAAAATTCTGATCACAGGTTACGCCTGGATCTTATACTCTATTAAACAACATCTGATTATCCACCATGGGCCATGAAGGATGGGGGGGGGGCATTTTCCGCAACAACACAAAGAGGCAACAGTCACACAGATCCATTCTACATATCTGGCACCACCTGGATAAACCCTCAGCTATCTACTCTCATCGTCACACACGTCATCCTTGCCAGCACTTCAGTGTTCCCACTTTAAAGACAATCTAGCAAGTACCAATGAACAGAGAGAGGTTCTCTCATTCTCCCCGAATCCAAGAACTTGGTGGGCATCCGATTCAGTAGATAAATCGCAGATGCAGAGCAGACAAAAGAAAGTGTTTTGCCAGAAAATGCATAATTAACTTGTGGAATACACTGCCGCGTGATGTGCAAACTGCCTCTAATTTTAGATATATGTTTTTTAAAAAAGAAGAGAATGTACAAATTCATGGAAGATAGGGCCTATTAATTGCTATTAATAGCCACGATAGACAAATGGAAATTCCATGTCCCTAGAAGAAGTGAGCAGTGACTCACGAAAAGTCCATACCCTGCCACAAATTTTGTTACTTTTTAAGGTGCTCTTGGTCTTTTCTACTGCTATGACAGACTAACACAGCTACCGATCTTGACCTCTCTGAATACCAGATTCAGGTGGGTAGCTTTCTTGGTCTGAAGCGGCAGAACAAAATTTGAGTCCAGTGGCTCCTTTAAGACCAACAAAGTTTTCTTTAAGGCAGGGGTCATTTCCTGCAGGAACGCACAGGAGCGGAGCTCCGGCAGTAAAGAGCCCAGGGGGCGGACACATGCAACAAGCCCCACCCCCTGCTCCCAGCAGCCCTCAGTCAGAGCAAGAAGCAGCCAGGTAAGCTGCAGAGGGCCCCCCCCCAGCCCCCTGGTCCAAAACAGTCCAGTGGCACTTTTAAGACCAAATTTTATTCAGGTACAAGCTCTCCCTCCTCTGCGAGGGCAGATTTGTGCGTTTCCCCCCACCCAATAGCTAGCAATCCAAAAAAAGTCCCGTGGCACCTTTAAGACCAAGTTTTATTCAGGTACAAGCTCTCCCTCCTCTGTGAGGACAGATCTGCATGTCCCCCCCCCAATAGCTAGCAACCCAGAACAGTCCAGTGGAGCCTGAGCGGTGGGTGTTGCCTTCTGACACACTTCCGGTGATGTCAGGGGGTGTGGCATATGCAAATAAGCTATGCTGATGTCTTATGCTAATGAGCTCCTGCACCTCTTTTTCTACTAAATGACCCCTGCTTCAAGGTATAAGCATTCGTGCGCATGCACACTTCTTCAGACGCTTTTAAAGAAGTGTGCATACACACGAAAGCTTATACCTTGAAGAAAACTTTGTAGGTTTCCGATGGGCAACAGGGAGGGGAGACTTTGGCCTCTCTGGCCATGAACTTTCTATGCCTCTGTCTGATCTCTGTGGGAAACAGCTGACAATGTCCTCAACCAAAATCCATAAAGACATTATGCACATGACACGAGGACTTCAGCTACGCAACAGCTGGCGCGTCTTACCGTACAAAGCTTTTGCGCTTGTCTTCGAACCCTGGTCTCTGTCGCTAGGTGCAAAGGTTGGTGACCCATATCCACTGGAAGACAAAGCAGATGATGATTTGTAGGCTTTGCCAAATAAATCTATCAACATATCCTATGGGATAAATACATTAGGCTCAATTAGGGATGTTACCTTAATCCAGGTGACACCTGGAGATCCCCTGGAATCACAGCTCCTCTCCAGACTACAGACATCAGTTCCCCTGGAGAAAATGGATGCTTTGGAGGGTGGACTCTATGACATTGCACCCAACCGAGGTCCCTATCCTCCCCAGGCTCCACCCCCGAATCTCCAGGAGCTTCCCAACATGGATCTGGCAGCCTTAACCCTCCCGGACCCCCCACCAGTGGACACAGAGGACCTGGCAAGCCTAGGGAAGATAAATGCATTCAGAGATTAGGTTGCTACTAGGTACAGAATTCAGGACCCTGAGAATTTTAGAAGAACACAGGAGCAGCCCTGATGGACCAGACCAATGGTCCATTTAGTCCAGGATGTCGTTACCCATAGCAGCCAACCAGGTGCTCCTGGAAGGCCTACAAGCAAGAGCACAGAAGCTGCAGCTCTCCTTCAACTCAAGAGGTGTGGTGCCTGTGAACATGGACCCATCTTCCTTGGCAGGGTGAGGTGTGAGGAAGAGAGGGACTCATGGGTATAATGCCGTAAAGTCCACTCTCCCTTATAAGTTGACGGTATTCCCTTCCTACCTTTAATTTCAATATTTACTTTTTGCTTTCATTGTATGTGCACTCTTCTGAGGGCAGTGATTAGTGTTATTTACCTTTTAGATACTACAGTGTACAGTATGATTCTTCTAGTGTCCTGGCCCAACTGGTGGACCTCCTGATGGCACCTGGTATTTTTGGCCACTGTGTGACAGAGTGTTGGACTGGATGGGCCACTGGCCTGATCCAACATTGGTTTCTCTCTTATGTTCTTATGTTCTTACAGATGTTGTAGCTCCGCGTCCTTTATGTTTACATGTTGATAGTTAACTTGCTGTAATAGACATTATATTGTAACCTGATGCCATAATGTTTTCATTTAGTTACGCCACTGTCATTTATATATGTACTTCAATAATATTATAATAACTTTTTGAAAACTAGAAAGTCCACCTTCTCTGTAGTCTGAAAATCCATTGCAATTTTGGGAGATCTCCACCTAGAGGTTGGCAAGCCCACCTTCTGGAAGTCCTCTAATCCCTTTTTAAAGCTATCTAAAACTAAAAAAACCACTTTCGAATTATGGTGCTGGAGAAGACTCTTGAGAGTCCCTTGGACTGCAAGGAGATCAAATCAGTCAACCCTAAAAGAAATCAACCCTGACTGTTCCCCAGAAGGCCAGATACTGAAGCTGAAGCTCAAATACTTTGGCCACCGAATGAGAAGGGAGCACTCACTGGAGAAGACCCTGATGCTGGGAAAGACTGAAGGTAAAAGGGGGCAGCAAAGGATGAGATGGTCAGACAGTGTTATCGATGCAACGAACATGAAATTAAGCAAACTCTGGAGGACGATGGAATACAGGAGGGCCTGGCATGATGTGGTCTATGGGGTCGTGAAGAGTTGGACTCAACTGTGTGACTGAACAACAACCACAAGACTAAAAGCCCTTGCTCAATCCTGTACACGAGAGTTCCAGAAGTTAGTTATGCACTCCATGGAAGATATTCATTTTGTTCTTGCTGAATCTACTGCCTATCAGCCGCACTAAGGAGAGTTCCTCACAACCCATCCTTGTTATGCACCCCAAATAGCTCTTCTGATTCTGGCACTCTATAAATACCTTTGATTTATGGAGGGCCAGAATCAGAAGAGCTATTTGGGGTGCATAACAAGGAGCTGAACATGCCTTGTGGGATTCTTTTTTCCCCTTAGAGCATGAGAACTCTAAGGCTGTATTGCAAATCGCTTTTGGAAGACCTCTAAGGTTTTTTTTGGGGGGGGGAATGGATTTACTGTACGCCTTAGCAGTCTTCTGGCTGAGAACCCCTCTGAGCATGCAGAACTAACGAGTGATACCCACTCTGCCTAGGAGACTAGGTGCAGATGCAGGTGTTACTTTTAGCACAGGTGTGCTTGCCTGTCTGATCTCCCAGCATGATGTTCCTGTCAAAAATCCATCTGAAGATGTAAACTATGACTCACAAACGCTCATGCTGAAATAAATGTTGTTCGTCTCTAAGGGGCCAGTGGGCTTTTTGATTTATTTTGAGACTTGCCATACTGATGTTAAAGGGGGGGGGGAGGGAATCTAACATTAAGAAAGTGTGACATGATTTATATAGATTTATGAAACTCGGGAAGTCTGCATTTTATATACAGTCCGCCTTTGACTCTGAGAAAGCTAATAATGGAATTTTCTTTCCATTAATAGAGGAGAGAGAGTGCCTCTGGTTTATGGTAATTAAATACATTTATAAATAGTTTTGAAGTTGATTATTGAAATAAGGCCTTGCACCGCATGTAGTGTTGCCAGGTCCTTCTTCTTCGCCAGCAGGGGACTTTGGGGGGGGGGGGTGTTCCTGGAGAAGTGATGTCATCACATTGGGGACCAGCACCCTGCATGCCTGAACACAAAGCAGTGAATTTGCCACTGGAGTTCAGGCACTCCCTGCCCCAATTCTTGCAAGCAACATTTCAAGGGACCCTTTAAATGCTGTTTGCAAGAAGGCGGGGGCAATACCTGAACTCCTGTGATAAATTTGCAACATGGAGTTTTTATTATTATTATTATTATTATTATTATTATTATTATTATTGTTGTTGTTGTTGTTGTTGTTGTTGTTGTTATTATTATTTCTTTCCATTTATATCCCGCCCTCCCTGCACGGAGGGCCCAGGGTTTAGGCATGCAGCTGGCAGCCACCCCTCTCCCTTCCTCCCGCAAAATTTAAAGGGCCCTCCAGCTAATCGATCAGCTGGAGGGCCCTTTAAATCTCACAGGAGGGGAGGGAGAGGGGTGGCCACCAGTGGTCGCTCTTGGGGTTGGGGCTTCCCTCACCAGTCAGCTGGCTAGCGGCAGGCAGGAGCCTGGGAAATTGGGGGGAAACCCCACCTGGGGTCTGGCGCCCCTAATTTTGTGCATGCTTTAAGCAATCCGAAAGATGTCTTAAAACTGGGTAACCTGAGTATATTTCTATTTATGAAATAACTCACACAATATTATATTCGTAAAATTCACACATTACAATTTCAGAATGTCACAGATATGTATGTTTTTATCTTGGCGGTGAAATTTATACAGCAGCAGTCTCTGAGACACCCAAGTTGTCTCATATTCTAATAACCACCCGTGGCCCCCATGTGCGGACAGCTAAATCCACTGATTAGGGCTACATGGAGGCTAAAGAGATTTTTCTGCAAGCTTGAGACACTCCCCAGGTTTGCCGAAAAATCTGAAAATTAAAAAATATATACCGGGGGGGGGGGGGGTGTTAAATCCCCTGAAAAGGAAACTCACATGCACTTACTTCAGGTGGCTGGGCAGAAGCTGCAGAGCCCAGGAGCCAAGCTGGGTCTGGTGACGGCATAGCCCAGGGCTCCACGCTGGGTCTGGTAGCAGCTGTGCAGCCCAGGACCTGCACCCGACATGTGACATAAAGGAAGGGAGGAAGCTGCAGTAGGTCGGCAGCAGAGGCTGCGAGCCTTGTCAGGCCCAGTGGTGGCCATAGCAGCAATACGGGGGCAGGGGGGAGTTGCAGTTGGCCAGAAGCAGAGGTTTGGAGACTCGTCAGGCCCGGGGTCAGCGGTGGTCATGGCAGTGATGCTGAAGGGGGAAAGAACTTGCAAGTGGCCGGCAGCAGATACTGGGAGCCTCCCTGGGACTGGGATCAGCAGCAGCCATGGCAGTGATGTTCGGGAACCGGGGTCATTTCCTGCAGGAGCGCACAGGAGCGGAGCTCCGGCACTAAAGAGCCCAGGGGGTGGGCAAATGCAACAAGCCCCACCCCCTGCTCCCAGCAGCCCTCAGTCAGAGCAAGAAGCAGCCAGGTAAGTTGCAGAGCCCCCCACCCGGCTCCCCGGTCCAAAAAAGTCCAGTGGCACCTTTAAGACCAAGCTTTATTCAGGTACAAGCTCTCCCTTCTCTGCGAAGACAGATCTGCATATTTCCCCCCCCCCAATAGCTAGGAATCCAAAACAGTCCAGTGGAGCCTGAGTGGTGGGTGTTGCCTTCTGACACACTTACGGTGATGCCAGGGGGTGTGGCATATGCAAATAAGTTATGCCAATGAGTTATGCTAATGAGCTCCTGCACCTCTTTTTCTACGAAATGACCCCTGGGGAGGAAGAAAGCCGGAGTGAGCTGGCAGCAGACACTGTGATGTCATGGGCGACAACGACCGTGCTGGGCCCCTGCCCAGGTTGGCAGCACAGCCGGAGTCACCGACATCACCAGAGCTGGAAGCCAGCCCCTCTGACTCCTCGGGAGTTGACAGCTTGTCAACGCCAGCACCCGAGCCAGTAACCCCCGCACCCGGTCCTGTGGCAGCCGATGACGTACAGGTGCAAACAGAAATCCCGCCTGATTTACCTCTGTGGGTGGCTTGGCTGAGAGAGCGGCTCCATGGGGACTTAGCAACCTTCCGCCGAGACACATGCTGGCAGGGAAGGCAGGCACCAAGCCCTAAGTACAGACTGGAACGGCACTGCCGCTAAGGGAAGCACTGCCAGAGGCCTATATAGTTCCCACTCAGGGTTGGCATAGATGTTTGGGGGGAAGGAAGCCACAGCTGGCCAGGCCACGGAGGTGGGGGACTCTGTCCCCTGCCAAGCCAGCAAGCCTGCCTGTGCACTGATGTCTAAGGAGGGGATTGGGGAGGATGCAGGAGTCCTCACTGCAGCCCAACCACCCACCCAGCTGGCAACCAAAGAGTTGGGTGGGGAGTTGCAGCAGTTCTCTCCACCCACTCCACCCAGCTGGTAAAAAGGGAGCCAGATGGTGGCAGCAATGATGGTGGGGGTGGGTGGGAGATGTGCCGGGGCAGTAGTGATGGGGGTGGAGGGACTCCTCCCTGCGAGTATCGCAGGTCCCCACTTGTTCAATAAAAATATGGCAACTGCATCAATCAACACAGAAGGAAAATCAGAAGGCAGGTTCATTGTGCTGCGTATTCATTACAATACACAATCAATACCAGCAAAGAATTTTTAAAAATCAAGCTACATTAAATGTACTGATGCTTTCAAAAACGGGAAAAAACCTAGACTGCCCAGGCTTAAAAACCAAGCAAGCTTTTAACTTGTCTTTAAAAAACCCTACAAAAACCCACATCCAAACAAATAAATTATGCATGGCCTTTGCTTGAACAAACAACATCAAAACTGTGTATAAATGTATGCAGATTCCTGCAAGTCATAAACTGTTCTCTGCTAAATGAAGAACAAAAATATCCCATTAGTAGATATCCAAGGACTGAAAGTTGCCCCAAGCAATAGATGGGATAGCTCGTTATCAGCTGTTACCCATCCAGCTGTTCATAAACTGAAAGTACAGCTATTCTGACCCTGAGATCAGATACATTTGATTCTGAAGGATGACCTCCAACAAGATTAGGCCATGAGGCTAGTGGCTTTATCTGAATCCAAACTACGGTTGCCATTCTCCCATTGGGGGTGGGGTTTTACCCGTTTTCAGGGGCCCCAAGCTGCTGCCACCCAGCCAGCTGGGAGAGTCCCACCCCCCAAGAGCCCCGTCCACGCCAGCATGCCCGGTGCAATGATGTCATTGTGTAGGGCACGTTGTGGGAGGGACGCTCTAGCATTTGAGAAAAAACTCAATGGTTTCCACGGAGTTTTTTTCTCAAACGCTAGTGTCCCCCCGCAACATGCCCTGTGCGATAATGTCCCTTCCAGGTGACATCATCACAATGCGCACACACCGAAAAGTCCCGGGCATGAAAAGGGACCCCCCGCTGGCAGCCAGGTAAGACCTGGCAACCCTAATCCAGACCCAGAGGGTGTGTTCTTCAATGGACCTAAAAGTGAAGCTAGAAAAACTGGAGCCTGAAGTGCAGCCTATGACCGAGCAAGGGCAGAAGGTCTGGCTCTTCGTGTTTACCAGGCCTGGCTGATCCAGAGTCTTCATACTGCCAGCCAATCACAGGCTCTGAGGCCTGAACATGCAGAGTTCCAGGTGCCTCAGGCTTTGGTGTCCTTGAATACTTCATCAGCCAGGCCCAAGGCCCTGGCTGTAATCTGATAACACAGAGCTGAGCAGTCATGTAAACATTCCACTTCCTCTTTTGGCCGATCTGTAGCTCTGGTTGGGGCTACAGACTTCTGGATCAACAGAGCCAACTGGCTCTCTGCAATTACAAGTATAAACACACAGCAGCAAATTAACCCTGGCAGAGACAAGAGATGGGCAGTAGATTCAAGACGGACAGAAGGAAATACTTCTTTACACAGCAAGTGAACAAAATGTAGATTTTTCCTGCCAGAGGATGTAGTGATGGCCACAGGCACAGACAGCTTTGAAAGGAGATTAGACAGATTCATGAAGGATAGGTCTAGCAGTGGCTACTAGGAACCTCCTACGTTCAGAGGCAGTCAAGCTCTGAATCCCAGTGCCAGGAGGCAACATCAGGGGAAGCCCCCGGCCTCTATGCCTTGTTGTTCAACCTCTGGAGGAACTGGTTAGCCACAGTATGAGACAGGATGCTGGACTAGACTAGATGGACCACTGGTCTGATCCAGCAAGGCTCTTCTTATGTCCTTATAGTTGATGACGCCAACAGCAGCCAACGCCCATCAAAAGAGTTCTCTTGAGCTCCATCCGTCTTGTTCACAGGAGAAGAGTTCTCAATATCCGCTGTATTTTAGGGCCTGACTAAACCTTGTTTCTTGTCTGGTCCTTGCAATCCATATGACTTTGCAAGTTCCCCAGGGGCAGCTTAATGTCCAGGGGTGTGGGGCCCAATTCAGACTGGGTCTACAGAGTGCAAAAATGGACTTCACCCCACCCACCCACCCACCACCCAATATTCCAGACCCAACATGGCCCCTGAGAAACACTAATTGCCTTACTGGGGGTTTCATATGTACTGATAGGGAACATGATGGTTTCCCAAACAGTCCACCTGTGCAGTTTGGGATCAGGAAAACGATGGAGGGGGGCATAAGTGCCCTTTCCCTGCATGCTATGGTCCCAATTTGAGTTAGGTCCTGAGGTGCCTGGAAATGGGGTTCCCAGTAGAGAACTTGCAAGAGTATAGATAGTAGAGAACTTGCAAGAGTACAGACAGTGGTTGACCCAGACCCAACCAAAGGTCAGTGTATCTTAGGATGTCAGACTTAGGCTGGCAACCCCCAGGAGCATTTTGTGGGGGAGATTCTGCAGACAGGATTTGCTTATGCTGTGATGCCACTTCCAGCCAAATGCTGCTCTAGAAATTCCCAAATCTCTATGGTTTTACCAGAGAGGAAATTCCTAGAGTGTTGCATGATGATGTGATGTCACTTCTGGGTATGCAGTTGGAAGTGATGTCACAGCATCAGTTTTTGTTCTTGCTGTCCCACTGAGCATCTTGAATGAATCGTGTTGTTAGGCTTTTGGTTAGGTGACTTGTCCATGGGGCAGGAGGAATGTATATGTTTAGATATAACTTAGCCAGAAGTATCCACTCAGGGGCTGATATTTCAGAAGTCAGCATGCGAGCACAGTATGCTGCACTGGAGGGTGGAATGGCACATTTACAAGAAGGGGAGTTTGTGGTGGTGAAGTCACACAAGCTGTAGGCACGTATGAAACCTACACAATTCCTGCCTCCCATAAACAAATACATATTTGCGTTTACCTTTTCACATTACAGCAGAAGTACAAAACTTAGGGTCCGCCACCCCCCACCCACCCACCCGTGCGCCAGATCTCCAGAAACAGCAGTTCCCTGCACTTAAAGGAGCCGGCGTTTCCCTTTTAAATACAGGAGCCAGCGTTTCCCCTTTAAGAGCAGCCGCGTTTCCCTTTTAAGAGAACGAAGCTGGCATTTCCCTGCAAGCTTGCGGAGATCAGGAAACACGGGTTCCACACACTTAAAGGGAGAGAGATGGGTGGCTGTGGGTATTGGGGGGGTAGAACCCTCCCCAAAATGGGGGACCCCTGGCAAACCAGGGAGTTTGGCAACCCTAACAAAACTGAAGCATCAGACACTCTTGCATTGCTCATTTTAAAAACGATGTTATTCTATTACAAGGTTACAAAACAATATACAAATAAAAACTATGCAGTAGTAAAACTGAAGTAAAATTAAAGCATGAGAGTGAAGTGTAAAAACCAAAGCAAGACTGAAATTAAATCTTATGTTCAAGGAGTTGCTCCCAGGACAACATTTAAACTGACGAAGAGAAACGACGTACAGTCTTTGTTTGCTGTTGGCATATGGAGGGGGGGAGAGAAAGAAAGTGCAATACTTACTTTATTTGTGAAGAGTAACTCCCATATGCACTGCTGTGTGTGTTTGAAATATGCCCATTCATTCTGATCGTCACTCCCTCTGTAGGAAACAGAAAAACAATTCACGTCATCTAATACATATACATTAATTTAAGAAATATTAATATTAATGTAATAAAAGCTTACAGGAGACTACAGAGCACACCAATTATGTCTGTAGGCGAACTATTTTTGGTCTTTTTCCATGGGAAAATTAACATTTATCTCCCTAGAGTTAATTTCTCTTGGAAGGTCACGCTTGATAGACTAAATCTGCCACCAATATGAAGATGTCATCCACTTAGAGAGGCCAACCATCCAATAAGGCCTGGGGGTTTCCAGGTATTACAACTGATTTCCAGACCACAGAGATCAGCTCCCCTGGAGAACGACATGATGACATAGAGGCTGGACTCTATGTTATCGTGTCCCTGCTAAGGTCCCTCCCCTCCCAAATCCCACCCTCCCCAGGCTCCATCCCTACACCTCCCGGAATTTCCCAACACTACACCCAGCTCTGTTTCTTCCCCAAAGCAGAGTCCGTGGGTCTGTGGCATTCCTAAACAAATACCATCAGGTTTAGGGTTACCATTCCCCAGGTGGTGGTGGGAGATCCTGTTTTTCTGGGCTCCTGCTCGCTGGCAGCTAGTGGGCGGGCGGGAGTTCCCAGTGGGAGTTCCCACCCCACCCCCAACAGCAACATGGTGTGCGATGCGCTGATGTCACCTGGAATTGACGTAGGTGCATTGGTGACATTGGGGGGGGGGGTGATGCTCTGGTTTTTGGGTGGAATGCTATGGTTTGAGGGTGATTTCACCATAGAATTTTGCCCAAAAAAACAGAGTGTCGCCCCCGACATCACCGGTATGCCTACATCACTTCCTGGTGACGTATGCGCATCGCGCAACATCCCCACCTACTCCCAGAATGCTCTCCCAATCCCCCGCCAGCACAATGACTGGACCTTGGAATCCTAATCAGGTTTGGTACTGATGGTCAAATGCGTGTTTCCCAATTTTGGGGGTCCAGTTTTTCAGGACTTCCTCCCGAGAAGAGCCACAGCCAAAGCCAGTTAGGACAACCCATAAAGCAACAGTGTTTGCTGTTGCACAGACCTCGGGACTCCCCCTACATTTTTCTCCCCCATATAATAGTTTTTTTCCCAAAAGCAACATGATTTTCATGGATGTTTACTATGGCAGTCAGGCTAAAACCACATTTTATAACCGGTCAACATATTTTAGTTTAAACCGTTCCTCCCACTATACTTTAATTCGCACCCTTCTAGAAAGTCTTTTGTTTCTTTACTTGATGGGCTGTACAGCGTTCTGTTAATTAGACTCTTTCAGAGCCGTCTCGAGTCAAGAGGCTGTCTTTAGATGCCTAAATCAACACATTTCATGCTATCTGCGTTTTGGTTTGCTAACTCAGCTCCTCACATTTCCCTGCTCCCACAACAAATAAAAACTAATGGGTGCCTTAAAATACTTCAGATCTTCACTATTCATGAGGAACCAGGGGAAACCGGGAAGTGGGAATGGAGTGGAGGCCTGGGGAGGATTGCTTCTCAAAAGACAAGATGGCCGACAGGGTGAAAGCCAGAACAGTGTAGTGGTTAAGTGCTGAACTTCAGTCAGGGAGACCTGAATCCCCATTGGACCTACGGAAATTAGCAGATGACCTTGAGTCCATCACTCAGCCTACTGCCAGGGCAGGTGAAAGGAGAACAAAAAGTAGATAACCCTAGCTATGTCTTCGAGATCTGATGAGATCAGGCTATCCTGGGCTATCCTATCTACGTAGTAAGCCACACTAAGCTCCTTGGAGAATCTCGAGAAACGCAACTCTTGCAATGAACGGAACTCTCAATTCCAGCGGATACAGAGGATTCTTTTTAAAAGCGACAGGACGTTATTGATGAACCCACGTGCTTCTGCTGCTCACACTGAAAGCCACACACTGAGATTTAAGAGCTTTTGGATGAGTTTTGTTCTGAATATTGCTGGGAAATATAATTTTTCAATTTCAGACTCGGTAACCTTTTATTACGGCCGCTGGAGAGGAGATCAGTCAAAATGCGCTTGGCAATTTTAGTCATAATTGCATTTGAAAGATTAACGGATAAACCAGAATTTATTTCAGATACTGTACTCAAAGAACCATAGCTATTATCTGATTAAGTGGTTTTATCGAAAGAACATTCCCCTGTGCTGTTCACATACAATTGCCTGTAAAGCTTAGTGCAGCAAGTCTCTACAAGATTTATGGTGCAAACCTACACAGAGTTACTCCGTTTTAAGCATGCTGAAGGTCTTCCGAGTAACTCTGCAAAGGACTGCACTGCTAAGACTGCAAGATCTTGTACGTAAATGCTTTTATCCCTGACCTAGAGGAATTTTGGTAGAACCCCTTACAAGACACGTCTCACACCAGATCTCAAAATAAAGCATGCACAAATGCCACTGTTAAGGTCTTTGTAAGAATCTGTAAAGAGCCTGGCAGAACCCCTGGGGTGTGATACCCCATTCAAGCAGCCAAAATAAGGCAGCATTTATTAGCCAGTCAACAAGACTACAAGAAATGTAATTCACAGCATGGAATGAAACTTCACTCTTGTCTCTGGCTAACCCATGACAACGCCCTACTATTCCTTATTTGATCCAACCACTTCACATGGTGAATGACCGTCTCTTTGGGTTTCCATAACTCCCTATACCCTTTGCTTTGTTTACACAATCAATGAGCCATTTGGGATAATTCACACATACACAGAATGTAATGGGCTTGTTCTCCCCCCAAAGTATGGGGTAAATAGGACAAAGAAGAATCACACATAGAGCTAAGTGTAAATGCTGTTCTCAGTTAAGCATACACAGGATAGAAAACCAGAATTTGCTATCCTAATGTGTGAAGCAGTTCTCAGAGACTGATGCAAATCAGAATATACAAGACAACCTAAGGGGTTATCTAAGGCGTTTCTGCCTATGTAGCCATACTAACAATGCTTAGACTTTTGCTACATCATAAATTCCCATGCTGGGCATATAACTGAAGCAGTTTGTACATTCCCACCTTCTATCAGTTATACTAAATGTAAAGGACAAGCACAGCTGCTATTTATTTATATGGTCACTGGGCCTTGGATCCCATTGTTTCCACGTTAGCTTTAAAAACATGCAGGCCAGAAATATCATAGAATCATAGAATGTTAGAGTTGGAAGGGATCTTGCAGGTCATCTAGTCCAACCCCCTGCACTCTGCAGGAGCATAGCCAAAAGATAGCCCTACAACATACCCAAAAGATGGTTGTCCAGCCTCACTTGAAAACATCCAGCGAAGGAGCATCCACCATCTCCCGAGGCAGTCTGTTCCACTGCTCAACCACTCTTACAGTTAGGAAGTTTCTCCTGATATTTAGCCGGTATCGACTCCCTTGTAATTTCCACCCATTAGATCTAGTCTTGCAATCCGGAGCAAGAGAGAATAGATCTGTTCCATCTTCTACATGACAGCCCTTCAAATATTTGAAGACTGCAATCATGTCCCCTCTAAGCCTTCTCTTTCCCAGGCTAAACATACCCAACTCTTTCAGCCTTTCCTCATAAGACTTGGATTCCAACCCTCTCACCATCCTGGTTGCCCTCTTCTGGACACGCTCGAGCTTGTCAACATCCTTCCTAAAATGTAGTGCCCAAAACTGGACACAGTACTCCAGGTGAGGCCTGACCATAGCAGAATAGAGCAGAACTACCACCTCCCGTGATCTGGACACAGTGTTTCTGTTAATGCATCCTAAGATTGCATTAGCTTTCTTCGCAGTCACATCGCACTGCAGGCTCATGTTTAGCTTGTGATCAGAACACCCAGATCCCTTTCACATGAGCTGCTGTCAAGCCAAGTCCCTCACTTACGTCCTTAACAGATACCTCAAGGAATCTGCAGGTAACATACAAGCGTTCGTATGTTACTTGTGCAGTTCCGCATCATCATCATCATCACCATCACAAATGAAATCTACACTACAGAAAAACGCTGAATTTTTGAATACGAAAGACCAGAGCCTTAAAAAAGAGAGAGGGGGGGGTGCTGGAACTCTCAAGAGGGAAATGAAGTTTTCAATCTGTATACTGAAAACTCATGGAGAATTTTGTCAAAGAGGTTCCAGAATTCCATTCTGGTGTATTCCCCCAGAAAAAAAGCCCCGCAGAAGACCAAGTTCAACAGAATTCCTTGTTTCCCCCAATCACAGCAGAACAGAAATGCCTGGCTTTTCTTGAGTACCATTTAAGTTAAATCAATTTGCAGTCAAAATGAAAGCACAGATAGCTTCAAGCAAGAGGCTCTAAAATATTGGGCTATGAAGGTGCTTTAGCTTGTTTTCTCCTATATGCTGTGAAGTAAACGCACTGTTTTGACCCTTCACGCATTTTTAGTTTTAAAAAGTGCACAATGCTCTGTTTGGGATAAAGCCGTCTAAGGGCTTTCTGTAGAATTTCCTGGTCTCCTGAGGCTGAGAGCTGAAGATGCAGGGAACAGAGGGGGGGGGGGGGGGGCAGAGTCTGAGGGGATGTGGAAGAGCCTAAAGGTACCTGAGGCAGCAACAGGTGGTCCTTGGTTGCTCAAGAGAACAGGCTGGCCGGGTTCAGTCACAAGACAGAGTGAATGTCAGTAACTCTCAAGTGAAGCGAAGCATCCCCCCATAACTCTGGACCCTCGCTCCCAGATTTTGCTCCTTAACCTTGGAGAAGGATAAAATTGTGAAACATCAGGTAAACCCTGAAAACCCAAGTTCACCATGGTGGTGGAAAGTGCCCTCAAGTCACAGCGGACTTATGGCAACCCCATAGTTTTCAAGGCAAGAGACGAACAGGGGTGGTGAAAAGTACGCAGACGGAGAGTGATTTCAGCAAAGCGTACTTTATTCGATCAGGAACAAGACGACTTTGGCTGGCTCACAGACCGGCTTATATACCCCGAGAAACCGCCACCCAAAACACACCCCTACTTCCCTATAGGTTATTTACAGTGGCCGAGAGTCCCATAGGCTCTCGGCCGGGAACC